TAGAGGAATCAGTGTTGGTGAAATGTGTATTTAAATCGTTACACAAAGATCTAAAAGGGGCGTGCAATTGAAAGTTTATTCTGCATGAGCCTAATGAAAGGGGCCTAAGGTGTCTACATGATCTTAAAGGGATGGTAAAGTTAAGCTCGCTAAGTAGGAATAGGCTATTGATAACACTTCTTATCAATTTAGTTAAAAATAAAACTCCAAGCATCTTTCTGCGACTATGGAGTGTACAGGAGATCAGATTAATGAGCCGAAAGCGACTTTTATAAGAAGGTAGTTAAGTTTCTTAACGCGAACGTAGGAGCTGCTTTTTGTACTCCAAACAACTGAGCCATATTCCAAAATGGGCCTAAAAAGAAAGTTAAAGAGTAATTCGGTAACTATGCATTTATATATATATATGATGATTTGCATAATAAAATATCTCTTTCCTCCAGCAGGCTTTGAGCATTACATTTCCATGATGAAAATGAAACTTTTAGTCGCAAATATATTTTTCGATTTCATATTTAAATTTTCTATCCTAAGCAGAATGGGAAATTACAAAGAAAACGGACGGTATAATGTACATATGTACTCGTATGCATATGAAAACATTTTTTCATTGTACAGCCCCACTATTGTTACGAATGGGAATCAAAATAAAACAAGAAGCTAAAAATTTATCTCTTACTTAATACAATTAAATACATTTCTGTTTGTTTTTAAGAGAGAAAAGTACCAAGAGTACCGCTCAATATTCTCCTCTCTGCCGAACCATACTAATTTCATACATAAAAAAGGATATCTCTCAAAGCGCACGCACTGAGGTATACAAATATACAACATATACATATGTACATGCACACATAATGTATACAATTAAATTTGTGCCAACAGCTGTTGTTTGCCAATTCATATACATACACACACACATATGTTTTTATTTATCTATGTACGAAGTGAAAGTTCGAGAATATTCTTGTATTAATATGAAAGTATACACACATACATATATACATGATATATGGTACGTACAAATATGTAATCATTATTAAAATAAATATTTTTACAGAAGCCAAAAATATCCGATTTATTTTTGATCGGTTTTTAATAGTTCGATGGCATTTAATAAATTCTATTTTTATTTGCATAAATACATATATACATATGTATATTTCCACGTATGTAAGTAAACATATGCTTTTTTTAAGAGCCTAGTACAATACATACATATTGTTACGATTTTACTAAATCAACCTCGATTTTCCGAATCCTTCGGGTACGATCTCTGGATTGTTAAATAAAACTCGCCAACTTAATTTGCAGTTTCTTTCGTTATAAAGAATTAATCTAATGTCCTTTATTTACTCCGTAATTCACAATACAATTACAATACACTCTACTATTTACAATCACTAGCATCAACTTGCACAATTCACTCTACTTAAATGTACTCTCCAACGTGTTTACTTTACGACTTTACTGATGTTAACGCCAACCAATTTGCTTTGTCACTGCTTGACTTGCAGCTGAGTGTCGCCTTTATATAGCAGTCGGCTTCTCGCAGACGAAAGTGTAGAAGCATCGAATTGTTCGCTATGGAAGGTTCTTGTTTTATCGTTTCTAGAATTTACTAGTTATCGGCTTCTCTCTTTCATCTGACATTCGCCTCGCATTTTCGCAACAATATGTATGTAAATATTTTTTTTGCGGATGAGGAGAAGAAAAATGCCTTCCGCGTCACTATTATGTCGTCACATCATTGGTATGTGCCAATTGCAGGTCACTAAAAACTCTTCTCTAGGGAACCCAGGAACCGCTTTCGCATTACTTCAAGGTGGCGTGCCCTTTTTCTCATAGTGAGATTATATCTCGTCCAGGTCCCGCTTTTTCGCTCGTAGCACTTTTTCTGCGAAGTCCTTTACATTTACCCAGCTTTCTTCGATTTGTAGCATAATTGAGACAATATTATCTACTCCTACCTCTCCAACTGTGTTTTCAAGTCTGATTCTCGCGTCTTGCCAGCGAGTGAATTGAAAGATTGGTTGCTCGGCGTCATCTTCGTTAGAATCGTTATAGATACATGACGGATCTTCAGATTTCCCTATTTAATGGAGGTATTTCCTGAAATATCCTTGACCAGACAGCATCTGGGTAATGTAGTGGTCTACTTCCCCAAATTTCCTGGTTGTCCATATTCTGACGTCTGCTATTAATCTGGCCGTCCATCGGCTATGACTTCCTTCTTCCCATCGGGCTTGCTACTGGATCAGGGTTTCTTTCCTTATGTCCCCTCTGTTTGTATTGACAGTGCCTATGTGGTTCTTCATTTTTTTGAACGTCCAATATCTTTTTTTTTCGGCTGCCAATAGGTCGATTGGGAACGCTTTCGCTTATTACAGCTATAGCCTCTACTGATACTGTACGGTTTGCCGACGATGCCCTCAAAGCCGCCATGCGGTATGCTTTAGCCAGTACCATTCCTATTAATTGTCTTAAGTGAGTCCGCCCATAGTTCGGCTCCATACAGTAAGATGTTAAGGGTTTGCCGATATGATAAGCTTTCTTTTCCCTTGAGTTGGTCCTCCTATGTTAGTCATTAGTCTACTTAGCTGAGAAGTGACTTTGGGGGCTTTGACTGCTGCATGCTGGATTTGTGTCCAGTAGCTCAGTCTAGGGTCTAGTCTTACACCCAGATAGTTAACAACTCTTCTTGACCTTTGTTCTCTAAAGATTCGATCATATCCTTCCACTGTGCACTGTTGAAGGCATTTCGAACGTCCAATGTGGCTAGGAGCCTTTGTTGAGCCTTTTCAACACTTTCAACTACATTCATGCATGAAAACGTATTGCTTTTTTGAGAGCCCTATTTTCATTTGCATAAATACATATGTATGTATGTACATTACCACGCAAGTAAACATATTATGCTTATTTTAAGAACCTAGTACATACGTGTACATACATATGCGACTTGCGTTCAAATGAATATAACAATTTAGGAGAAAAAATACGTACATAAATATGTACACATGTATGTATGTATTTGAAGATTTCGTTTGTTGATTAAAGATTAAATTTTTTTATGGAATTATCGGTTGTTATGTTTTTTATTGAATCCATTTTGTACAGTTAAATTTAGTGTCTGTAGATCAGGCAAGCATCCAATATTTACATGCACAAACGGCGGAAACTTACATTAAAATTCGCAGATATGTACATACATACATACCTATTAAGCGGCTTGAATAATCTATTGAGTCGTCTATAGTGGCGGCCGCGGTAGCCGAATGGTCTCCGTGCGACCAACATCCAAAAGTTATAGAAAATTAATTTAAATAAAAAAAAAATTATGCTCAATTTTCTGATTGCGGTCGCCTCTCGGCAGGGAATGTCAACCCCTCCGAGTGTATTTCTGACATAAAATAAAGATCATCATAAAAAACCTTCAGACGTTCGAAGTCGGCTTAGTATAAACTGTAGGTTCATCCATTTGTTGAAGAAACATCAAGACGCAAAACCATAAATTGGAGGAGGAGCTCGGCCGAAAATCGCTTTAGCGGTTACAAAGCGCCAATTCTATATATGTATATATATATATATATATATATGTACATAGTGCTTTGAGCTGCGAAGCTCCGAGATATTTAAGACAAATTCCGGCTAAGGCCGCACAGAAGAACAGGAAGTGTTCCCCCTTGCCCTTCCTACATGTGTCACTGCTACTAATGCTGAATGTATCGCCAGTCATTAGTTTAAAAACTGTCCTAGAGTCGTTACGTGTACGAGTAAGTAAGATATGGATATTTATTTTACTGCTATTGGACATGATCTTGGTGGTTTTGAATGTCACTAATGCGATCCACCTCACCACAATGCGGCATGGAGCTCTTTGAGACATTTTAGTAAGGACTGTTTCGCTTTTGGATTTCCACGTGGAGTATAAAGAAAGAACGACACGATCAACTTATTCTGCTATGTAAGAGAGGATTAACAAAAGTTCGGTCAGTTGGTGATGTTCAATTTGATTTTGTTAAATCTAAATTCGACTTGAATGTCTTGGGTGTATCGGGAATATTAATACACGAAGAAATCTGCTCGATTTTAAATGAGACTCAAAAAGAGGCCCGACTGCATTTTGCTTAATTTTTCCTAAACAAATTCGAAAATGCTCGGTCTAACAACTTTAGAAAAGTCACTAGTGGTGACGAATCTTGGTTTTATAAGTACGATCCAGAAACCAAACACCAGTCCGTGATATGGACTCCAACAGGAGCAAACCCACCCGTTAAGTTTACATCATGACAACACACCATCCCGGATAGCTGAAATAACGAGTAATTGAATTGTGATCTCTGGAACTTCTCGATACAATAAACAGCAAGATTTTGAAGACTGTTTCCAGTAGTGGATCTCTAGGCTTAATAAATGCCTTGAAATCAATAGCGATTATATAGAGAAGATAAGCAAGGATAAAAATTACGAATAGACACAAAAATAATATTTTATTTTCTTTTTCTGGTCAACTTACCGAGCTTTTGTTAATCTGCTCGTACATGTTAAGACTCGTCTACATGTAACGGCTGTATGGAAAAACGATTGAAAAACGACACCAGATCTTGCGCTACCCGATTATCGTCAGCAGCTGTTCACGTCATATGAAGGTGACAAAAATGGTGTTGATAAATGAATAACGATACTGTTGACGATGGCGTTGAACGGCAATTCTTACGAGGAATCTGTTTTCAGAACAAGGCAATTCCATCTTGGAAAAATAATGCAGTTGAAGGGAACTGTGTGGAAAAGACGAAAGAGTTTAGAAACTTTAGTTAAAATTGCATGCCAATTTGAAATAAATCAAAATTCTCCAGCTTGAATAATACCATTTATCAAAATTTTATTTCAAATCATTAAGATCAAAAAATCTAAATCTATCATTTTCGAATTTCGAATTGTTCAAACAACAGTAAAACCTTCCACAAAGAACAACCACAGTCAATTAAACAACGAAATTTTCGTTTTAAATAAAGAATTTGTTCATGTTCTATATTTTCAGTCTTTCTTTTATGTACATAGGATTCATTCTTTCTACGAACTAATTAACATTTTAAGTCTAAGTTCTTACAAAACTACATTTTAATCTAGAGAGATCTATTCCTAAATTACATTTGTGTTTAATCTACTTCCTCCACGGTAGGTCCAGTGTGACCACCATTGAAGCCGCCAGCCTGTTGACCGCAGGACGCTCCCTGACCCGCGCCACCACCACTGTGCAATTTCGTCATGATGGGCGAGCACAGTTTGGTCAGTGAGTTCATCTTGTCTTCGTACTCTTCTTTGTCGGCCAACGTGTTAGCATCGAGCCATTTGATTGTGTCATCACAAGCCTTCAGTGCTTCGCTCTTCTCCCGCTCACTCAGTTTGTCACCAGCGTTGTCCAGCGCCTGCTTCACGCCAAACACATAACTTTCCAAACTATTTCTGGCTGCGATCTTATTGCGTTGACGCTCATCTTCTTCAGCATAGCGCTCCGCTTCGTTCACCATACGATCAATTTCGGCTTGTGATAGACGTCCTTTGTCATTCTTGATGGTTATGTTTTTGGCATTGCCCGAACTCATTTCCTTCGCCGACACATTCAGTATACCGTTGGCATCCAGATCAAAGGTTACCTCAATCTGTGGTACTCCACGTGGTGCTGGTGGTATCCCTGATAAGTCGAAGGTGCCCAAACGGTTGTTGTTATTGGTCATCACACGTTCACCTTCGTACACCTGAATGGTAACACCTGGTTGGTTGTCCGAGTATGTTGAGAATGTTTGAGTTTGTTTGCATGGAATGCGACAATTTCTTTCAATGATCTTCGCCATTACACCACCAGCCGTCTCGATACCCAGGGACAGTGGCGCTACATCGACCAATAGCACGTCCTGAATTTCAGTGCTCTTGTCGCCACTCAGAATAGCTGCTTGAACTGCTGCACCATATGCCACCGCCTCGTCGGGGTTGATAGAGAGGTTCAAGCTCTTGCCACAGAAGAACGACTGCAGTAGACTTTGCACCTTTGGTATACGTGTGGAACCACCAACCAAGACGATATCATGTATCTGGTTCTTGTCCATCTTCGCATCATTCAGAGCCTTCTCGACTGGTTCCAAGGTTTGACGGAACAAATCAGCACACAGTTCCTCGAAGCGTGCTCGCGATACTTTTGTGTAGAAGTCAATTCCCTCGAACAGCGCATCAATTTCAATTGTGGCCTCTGTGCTGGATGAGAGAGTACGTTTGGCACGTTCAGCGGCTGTACGTAGACGACGCAGTGCTCTTGGATTCGAACGCAGATCTTTCTTATATTTGCGCTTGAACTCTTCTGCCAAGTGGCTCACCAGCCGGTTGTCGAAGTCTTCACCACCAAGATGTGTATCGCCTGCGGTGGCACGTACTTCGAACAGCGAACCTTCATCAATGGTTAAGATGGAAACATCGAAGGTACCACCGCCCAAGTCGAAGATCAACACATTCCTTTCACCTTTGAGATTCTTGTCCAAACCGTAAGCTAAAGCGGCGGCAGTGGGTTCGTTGATGATTCGTAACACATTCAAACCAGCAATTCGACCAGCATCCTTTGTCGCCTGTCGCTGTGAGTCATTGAAATATGCAGGCACTGTGATGACCGCGTCTGTTACTGTTGTGCCCAGATAAGCCTCTGCGGTCTCCTTCATCTTGGTCAACACCATGGAACTGATTTCTTCTGGTGCGAATCGTTTGTTTTCTCCTTTGTACTCCACGCTGATTTTCGGTTTGCCACCATCGCTCACCACTTTGAATGGCCAGTGCTTGACGTCCTCCATGATCTTCGGGTCATCATACTTGCGCCCAATCAATCGCTTGGCATCGAATACTGTGTTCTTTGGATTCATCGCCACCTGGTTCTTGGCTGCGTCGCCAATGAGACGCTCGGACTCTGTGAAGGCAACATAGCTGGGTGTTGTGCGGTTGCCTTGGTCGTTGGCGATAATCTCCACTTTGCCATGTTGGAAGACACCAACACAGGAGTATGTTGTTCCCAAATCAATACCGATTGCTACCATTCTGACTTGTGTTGTTGTTTTGCTTATTCTTCTTGTACTTCAATACTTTAATAGATACTTTTTACTAATACTTGTTGTTGTTATACTTTTTACTAATACTTGTTGTTGTTATACTTTTCACGAATTCAAATATCAGTTTGTGTTAAAACACTTTCACGTTTGTTTGTTTGTTTGTTTGTTTGCTACAATCTCTTTGCGAGTTGTTTATTGTTTGCTTGTTAATTCAATTCTGAAACGAAGAGCGTTCACGGCTGGTATTTATACCAAACGCACTCTTCGCGGAAGCTTCCAGAGTCTCTTTCTCGAAACTTCTACGACAATCTACCAGCCGACTGGCAATTTCTGAGCGAAGAGCAGTTGTCGCTTTGTAAATACATAGGTGTGTTTATACGTATGCATCTGTGAGATACACTTTCGCACATAAACACATGCCCAAACACACGAATGGGCAACCAACTACATTTCTTGCCGGCACTCTCACCTTTGAGGTACTGAATATTTAACCGTAAAAATATTTCTGAGTTTTGTTTGTGCGCTGGGTGAAATAAAGAAAGAGAGAGAGAGAGAGGGAGAGCGAGAGAGTTCAGCTCTCGTGAAGCGTATTTATACTGCGAACATAAAAATTATTGTAGAGATAAAAATTAATATTAATCTCTCTGTTATACATATTACTCTTTATAAATGCATGTATGTATGTATGTATGTAAAATGTGCATCTATTTAGATTTCTACATTTATTTGTATGTAGAAATGCACAAAAAACCGTGAAAGCAAATGCGGAGCTCTGCTCAATATTTGTTACGAATGGGAATCAAAATAAAGTACAATAACTCCTCATCGAATTAACATTTAGATATGTTGTATGTATGTATGTGTACTTAAGAAACACTGGAAGTTTCTAGAAATTTAAATTAATATATGTGAACATAATTACATACAGATATGTACGTAAACTCTTGCAATTCTATATATGAAGAATATGTATGTATACGCATACATATGTACATATGTATGTATATTTTTATACCTTTTATGAATGGCGAGTTGAGTTGATTTAGCCATGTCCGTATGCCCAAATGTGTAGGATCACAAAGGGTTTTTTTGCAACCGCACGAATTCGCCAAATGCGAGAGAAATAAACACAAGTTGTGTGTTTCCACTTATAAATGTACTATATACGAGTATATATGTATGTAGTTGCCGAGTAAAAACACTCTGATGTGGTGGTCAGTTATTAGACTAATTTATTTTTAACAATTCACTTCCTTAAATACTAATTCCTATTTAGAAAGTAAGCCGCTACTTAAAAAACCAGTTTCTCAAAGTTCATATTCTATGTGCATTCATATGAACATTCCATAGAGGTTGCTGATCCTAACGCTAGTTCTAATCGCATCCCTATTGCGTGTTATAAACGAATATGATAACAAACATTTGCATACGTGTTTGCTTATATGTCTACAAACATACATACATACACGTATAGTGTGAGAAATACATACTACTTTGCAAATGCAAGAAATAATTTAACGGAAAAATATTTTTGTAAACAAATAGTGCTAAAGAGACACTAAAATTAAAGCATATGATTAGCTCGGCTTTAAGTTTATACATATGTATGTATGTATATCAATGTCTTTGTTAGCAATTATATGGACTACAAGTATGTGACCCAACAGTACGTAAGCTAGTCCCTCGGTTTTAGAGAGATTTCAACCGAACTTGGTACACAGATACACTGCTACATTCACATGCCTACTCTCACTGTTACCGGAAAAGTAAATTTTGTTCCTTTTTTTAGCATTAGAAATTGATTTTGGTATTCTAGCGCTTTATTTAGAAAAATAGTTCAGTGATCGCGAAAGAAATGGTTGACTAAGAGCACTGAAGCAATTTCTCCCAACGCATTGCTGATGGGACACATGGGGAGACATATAAATACTTACATACGTACAAAAATATATAGTTGGGAGAAACCTCAAAGAAAATGGTGCTAATTCGTTTAAGAACTCTCAATAAATTATTTTGTTCGCGCAAAAATGCAGAATGACAACGGTTTCTTTCAAATTAAATCATTTTTTTCTCGCAAAGAACTTAACACGCGCCTTTCTGCATTTCTTACTTCACTGCATTGAATTCCAGACGCATAATATGCCTCTTCAATTTGATTTTCATTTATTCTCCTCAAATTAAAAACAAAAAATCAAAGAGCAGGTTGGTTATGACTTCCGGGTAGCAAAGCTCACAGAATACGAAATAGTAACAAAAACAATTTTTAATTATACCAAAGTAAATTTTATTGCCTCGACAGAATCGGCCTGTTACAGGATCATTTGTTGGAACCGACCACTATGGCATATACGTACAAACATACACATGCAGCTCTCAAACGAATTTGGTCAGATTTGGAATTAATATTTAATTCTAAAATGCAATGCAATGAATAAATAAAACAATATGTGCGTTATCATTCTTTGGCCAAGTCTTGCTAATAGGAGTCATACATATGAATGTACATACATAGGTACCTTTTGTAAGAAGTGAAGGGGTAAAGAGTAGAGGTAAGAAAACAAGTCTAGAAAGTTCCCCAATTTAATCTTAGAAGTTTTTTATGTGCTTATGTATGAATGCATGTATACATATTTATGTACGAGTATATATATGGATGTATGTATGTATATACCCCATGTGCAAGCATTTAGTAAGGAAGAATGACTCTTCAGCCTTTACAGAGGATGGATAATTTTAAAAATTCCAATTTTTTTCTTTTATTGGGGATTTCTTTGAAACATGTATGTATGTACATATNCCAAACTGTGCTCGCCCATCATGACGAAATTGCACAGTGGTGGTGGCGCGGGTCAGGGAGCGTCCTGCGGTCAACAGGCTGGCGGATTCAATGGTGGTCACACTGGACCTACCGTGGAGGAAGTAGATTAAACACAAATGTATTTTAGGAATAGATCTCTCTAGATTGAAATGTAGTTTTGTAAGAACTTAGACTTAAAATGTTAACTAGTTTGTAGAAAGAAAACATCCTATGTACATAAAAAAAAGACTGAAAATATAGAACATAAAAAAATTAATTATTTAAAACAAAATTTTCGTGGGTTTCTTTTGTTTTGTGGAGGTTGATTGTTTTTGGATTAGAATTTCAACTCTGTTGGGCCCGGAGTTGTGGTAAGACATTACTTCTTTGCCAAAGTGGAGCGGTATTGTCATATGAAAACCGATTTTTTTAGTGGCAAATGAAGAAGATGATTTGAACGATATATGGTTTCATATTTCTACAAAAGATTTGCGAGTATGGCTTTTTCTGCCGGCTGGGTTATCTATCGTCTTAGCAATGTCAGCTGGCCAAATAGATCGTGCGATTTGACGCAGTTGGGTCGTGTTTATGCTGACAAACCTTTAACTCTTGAACACTTGAAAACCAAGATTAGTCCAGTTATTACTCAGCTGCCGCCTATTATGTGCCAGTAAGGGGCCGAGAGGCGATCAGTAGAAAAAAAAAACTATTGTAAATAAACTTTTTTAAGTTTATTTTCGAAACCGATATATAAGAGTATATTATTCGATTAACATAAATTTTTCCTTAAACTTCTTTGCAATCGAAGTCATGAAGAATGGATTTTACTTTTACCAGCAACGCCAGCGCACTATCCGCTTTGGTCGCATGTAAAAGGTATATACCAGCAAAGCGAAAAAACGCTAAATTTTGAAATATTCCTCTGATTAAAGCGAAAACGTAGATCCTCTTCTTCTTCTTTATTAACGTTAGCACCGTTTACGCGATTATAGCCGATTCGTCTCCTCTTTTTGCTGTTTGGCGCCAGTTGGAAATACCAAGTAAAGCCAGGTCGCTCTCCACCTGATCCTTTCAACGGAGTGGAGGTCTTCCTCTTCCTGTGCTTCCACCAGCGTACCCGCTGCATCGAATACGACATGACCTAGCCAGCGTAGTCGCTGTCTCTTCATTCGCTGGACTATGTCAATATCACCATATAGCTCATCGTTCCATCGTCTGCGCCGTTGCGCAAAGAACCATGAATCGTTCACAAAACCTTTCTCTCTAAAATTACTAGAGCCGTCCCTTCAGATATTGATATCGTCCACGCTTCTGCGCCATATAGTAGGGCGCGTATAATGAGCGACTTGTAGAGTTTGTTCTTTGTTCGTGGAGAGAGGTCTTTACTTTTCAACTGCCTGGTCAATCCAAAATAGCACCTGTTGGCAAGTGTAATTCTGCGTTGGATTCCAAGGCTGACATTGGTTTTGGTGTTAAAACTGGTTCCAAGATAGATGAAGTTATATACAACTTCAAAGATATGACTGTTAACAGTGACATGAGAGCCGAATCGCGAATGCGTCGACTATTTGTTTGATGACAGGAGATATTTCGTCTAGTCACGTTCAATACCAATATCCAGTCTGGAAAAAGCAGAGCTCACGGCCTAATTGTTAAGGCCAATAATGTCGATGTCATCGGCATGCTCCAACAGCTGTACACTCCTATAGAAGGTTGTTCGTTCTCTATTCAGCTCTGCAGCTCGTATTTTTTTCTCCAGCATCAAAATAAAGAAGTCATACGATAAGGAATTACACTGTCTGAAACCTCGTTTGGTATCGAATGGCTCAGAGAGGTCCTTCCGGATTCTGACGAACCTTTTAGAGTAGCTTAAGGTCAGTTTACACAGCCGTATAATTTTGCGGGGATATCAAATTCAGATATAGCTTCGTAGAGGTAGCTCCTTTTCATGCTGTCGAACGCTCAATTCTTTTCTCACGGGTCTTTAACACCTGATCAGTTCTTCACCGCCGTATTTGAATAGCTCGGCCGGTAATTCACCGGTCAATTGGATTTTCGGGTGTAGCTTTTCCGGGTGTTTCAATTTCACTGCCATTCAGCAGGCTGGAAAAGTGTTCCCTCCATAAATTCAGTATACTCTTGGCATCCGTTACTGGCTCACCCCTCTGGGTCCTACAAGAGTTTGCTGCGGTCTTGAAACCGTATCTTTTCGTAGAATTTTCTAGCATTACCCCTTTCGGCCAGCATCTCAAGCCCCTCGTACTCACGTATTTCTTCCTCTTTATTTTTTTTCCTGAAAATGCGTCGTACTTCCCTCTTCAGTTCTCGGTATCTATTCCATCCCGCTCGTGTTGAGGTCGATCGGTAGGTTGCGAGGTAGGTAGTCTGTTTTGAAATGCAGTCTCACAATTCCGTTATGCAGGTGTGCAAGTCG